AATAACCGAAAAAGATAAATTTTCCCTTTTAAATATTCATTATGATACATTGAAGCTTTATTGTTGACAATAATATCTTTATAAACATTGGTCCTGATGTCAACAATCATAGTTAATCTAAGATTGTTCATAGCTAAAGCACATATTTCATAATTATTGAAAAATTAAAAAGAGTCTTCTCCTATTTTGGAGATTATTTCGACCAAAACCTACAGCTAGACATCTTATTATAGAGTAATTATTGGTGAAATTTCATAGCACTTGAGATCGAAGACTCTTCTGTGATAGCTACAATTAACCGATAAAATTATCGCTGAACCGCAGTATTTATTAAAACCGGCGGTTTACCGCGATTAACTGTCGGTTTTATCGGTTTTACCGGTTAACCGTCGGTTTTACCGGTTTTACCGGTTAACCGTCGGTTTTACCAGTTTTACCGGTTAATCGCCGGTTTTTTACAGTAAACCGCGGTTAACCGTCGGTTTTTCCGGTTTCATCGGTTTACCGCTAAAAGTGATTCGGTATTTGCGACATGGGTACTTTACTTCCATCATCCTCTTTAACAACAACTGTATCTCTTTTACCTGGCAATTGATATGAAACATCATCTCGCAAGTAGAAATTATGTACGTCATTTTTTAATTTATCGGCAAGTTGCTGTGTAGTACGTTTATGTGTAGATTTACGAACTAAACCAACACTTTGAGCAATATGTTGAATGATAACTTTTTTCTTTAAGCCGCATTTAGGAAGCGATGAATTTACTTTTTTTAAAGCCTTACCAAATGATTGCCGGCTCTTGAAAGAACTCGGAAAAGGTTTATCAATTAAACTTTGTTTTTTATTTTCTCGAAATTTTTTTTGACGCATTTTGTTTTCAGCACGAAATTTAGCCAAACTTGCTCCTCTTAATACCGTTCTTATTGAATTATTACGAGCACGAGCTTTTGCCTTCATTGCCTCGTATTTAACTTTATCCTTTTTAATTTTTTCTCGATATTTTTTCATTCTTTCAGCATTGGTCATAGCCATGTCAAAATCACAATAGTAAAAAAAAACAATTACCGACCTTAATCAAATAAATGTAACTGATAATTCGAATTAATGACAACAGAAAAGGAATTTTTAACGTAGTTTTTTTGTATAACGACTTCTTTTTATTGAATAGATAGAACTGATCCTTCTCTTCTCTCCTCGTCTATTTATACGCTGTAAACAAACAACATAAAATTGTGAGAGAAAAGAAAGAAAAAAAATAATCTAACGTCTTTACACGATAAAGGAGGAAAGCGTGTCGACTTGATCGATATAGGCATTTTTTGCCGTCAAGTGATAAAAACGATCATTTTCTTATTTTGAACGTCTATCATCTCCCTACGAGAGCTATATGAAAGGTCATTTAGTGCAGAATTTCACTTTAAGTCCGAATATATATGTCAATTGTTATGACTATAATTAACCTAAGCTAAAAATATCGGAGAATAAATAGAAATTAAGACTATTTAAAGAGACTTCTCTTTATATAAGCAAACCAACGGTCAAAATCAAGAGTATATTCTACGTAATGATCATTCCAAAAATATAATATTGAATTATTTGCTGAATTATATAAACTGAAAATAATGCAAATAATCAGGTTTTCGTAACAGCGTTACGTTTATCTACCTCATAGTACGATATTTTTGAGAAAAAAATAGTACATCAGAATCGCCATGAAAAGTTAGTAATAATCCATTCATTTTTACACCAGTATTATGTACGTAACTTACAATAATTCTAAAATAAGGTCTTATCGTAACGCTGTTACGGCGATATTGATCAAGTATTATTTTGCCAATTTCTCAATATGAGAAAAAAAAAGACGACTATTCTTTTGCCAAAAGAAAGGCTATAGTTAATAGTCTGCAAGACATTTGAAAGCGGGGATTCAGAGTCAGACATTAAGATGTATGATTAGTTTCAAAGTAATACACAAAAAAGTGCAATAGAAAATACTACAATTGATGTTTAGTGTATACGTTTCAACAGACTCATAGAAATAGTTTTTTGAATAACAAAATACATTTTTGTACACTTCCGAGCCTGCTCTACAACCTGACATAAACAA